CTTAATAAACATAAGGACTTATTCTTAATTCAACTTTATGTTTTTCAATATCCATGCCATCCATAAATTATTAGTTATATTATTAGGTATCTGTCCTTAGACAAGTTCAGCTTTTAACCAAATTAAACTTTCTACACTAGCTCTTAATGATGAGCTGAGAACCTCCAGAAAAATTTTGTCCATATATCACAAAAAATGCATGCATCACAAATCCTGCTGGCGCACAGGTAAGCAAACAGAAACTTCAATGGCCTTTTCCTCAGGTAAATAATTTTTATAGTAGCTGCAAAAATGTCCATACTTATGCTTTTTAAGAAATGAATATTCAACTTCACAAGGATACACACATCTTTAAAATCATACATTTTGAATAACAGGTTTTAGACCACGTAAGTACTTTTGAAGGCCTTTTAAATAAAATTTTAGCTCTAGAATCTGCATTTAAGAGAATTATTACTACATACAGTTGTTTAAATCCCTGGGGAAAAAAATTCACTTTGTGCTTTAAAATAGCTTTAAAAATAACACAGATTTTCATTTTTATGAACGATGAAACCAAAACCAAATGTGCTGCTGTTGAGTCAAATCTGATTCAGAGTGACCCTACAGGACAGAGGTGAACTGCTCCATAAGGTTTCCAAGGCTGTAAATCTTTACAGAAGTAGACTTCTGTAAAGTCTTCTTCCCATAGAGTGACTGTGGGTTCAAACTGCCAACCTTTTTTTTTTTTTGGTTAACAGTGAAGAACTTTAACCCCTATGCCACTAGTGCTCCTTCCTAATCAATTATACAGTACATTCAAATGTGAATGAAGGCTAGGTTTTTGTTTTTGTTATTTTTTTAAAGAATACACTTTTATTGTCTTACAATTCTGGAGTATAGAAGTCAAAATTCAAGGCTTCAGCAGGCCATACCCTGCTCTAGGGGAAGATCCCCACATGTCCTCCAGTTTCTGATAGCACTAGGCGTTTCCTGGCATTTCGTGGCTTATACATGAACCTGTCTCAAGTATTCCCCTATGTGTCTGTTCTCTGCCTTCATAAGATACCTCTGAGAACAGATTAAGACCCACTATAGTATGACATGGCCTTTTGTTAACCAACTGATAATATCTTCAAAAACAAATGTCCAAATAAGATCACATTACAGGTAAAGGGGTTAGGACTTCAGCATATCATTTTGGAGGACACAATTCAATCCAAAATAGCCTCAAATATTTTTGTATTCTCTAAAATTTTATATGCACTTTATTGTACTACCTAATGGATAAAATGGCTGTAGTTTGACTCCTAAATTTGTCATCTATTAGCTAGATAATCTTGGGTAAACCCCTTCATTTCTCAGAGCTTTAATTTTCTCAAAATGCTAATGTCTGTCATCCAGGGAAATTTACATAAAATAGTGATTAAAATAAGGCTAAATGTACTTATCCAATTCTTTTTTTTTTTTTTTTTTTTAATTGTGATTTGGGTGAAAATTTACAGAGCAAATCCACTTTCTAGGCAGCAGTTCATATACACTTTGTCTCATGACATTAACTACAATTTAAACGTTAGGTTTTAAAGCAAGGTTTTATCATTGAGGGCATTTTTAATTTCTTATGATTAAAGTAATTCAATGGTTATGTCTGCTATTCTACCACTACGCTGAATTACAAGGGTAAGAACTCTGCAACTACCTCTACGTGCTTAGAAAATTATTGTGTATAATTGCACATTCCTTGTTGAGGCACTTCCCCTGCCCTGCCCAACAAAGTCAAGTATTTAAGGATAATCTTTTATCAGTAATAGGCAATCAACAACAACAACAAAAATAATAAGGACCTGAAGTCACAATAGATAAAGCGCTCTGGCCCCTAACAAAAATTAGCAGTTTGAACCTACCAATGGCTCCACAGAATAAAAGACCTGGTGATCTGCTCCCATAAAGATTGTTGTTGTTGTTATGTGCCATTGAGTCAGTCCTGACTCATAGCGACCCCTCCTTGGGTTTCTGAGGCAGTATCACTACAGAAGATTGGCCCAACCTTCCTTCTGAGGAGTGGTTGGTGGGTTTGAACTGCCAGCCTTCTGGTTAGTAGTCAAGTGCCTTTGGCACTACACCACCAGAACTCCTTCCCATAAAGGACTTCCTACAACCTAGGAAATCCAACGAGGTAGTTTTACTCTGTCATATAATATGAGCGAGAAGTGATTTGACAGCACATAACAGCAGAAAGTAAAATCAACATGCCTTGAAAACAAAGGGTAAATCTCCATGGATTTCAATTAATTATATTTTATGTCAGTAAATAAGCCAAATCATTATAGTGACATTTTTGTAAATATTTATAGATTAGCCCTTTTGTTGACTAATTTCAAACTAATGCCTTACAAACGAAAAACATAACTTCATTTCCACTCCCAGCATAAAAATTCCATACGTTCCTTGTTTAACTTGGATTTATCTATAAATGATAATAATTTTTAAAACCCAGCTATTCACAAAAAAAAATTAAAAAAAGAAAAGAAAGAACTTTTGTGACCATTGCCACTTCCTAGATCTAATTGTTAGCTATCAATATGTAAGGAAGGGTTTGCTCATTCTATGTATTCTACTGAATTACAAAATCAACTGGAAGAAAAAAGTACTTTTTTGATGAAATTTATACTTTTTAATCATCTTTTTACTTTCAGGAATAACTGGCTTAAAAAGGAGTCAAAAGTTCCATTCACTTTATGCTCTTTCTAAAACTCAGAAAAGCATGTTAGACTAAATGCTAAAGTTTTCTACAATTTAATTTTATTTCCTAAGACCTCAACATTTTTTTCCATTAGCTGTAAATTCAATTTATGGTAAGCATTATTTCTAATGGGCTGAATTATACTGTTAATAAAATCATTGAGTAAATTAATTTACAAATGTAATATTTATTAGAAAATTAGGAGATGGCTTTCATAAAATGTTTATCATCATATTTTTAAAAAGGTCATAGCTACACTTAAGTTCATAGCAGTGGAAGTCACAGTAGCAAAAAGGTGGAGGAATGGATAAACAAATGTGGTATGTACATACAATGGAACACTATGCAGCCCATAAAAGAAATGAAGTACTACAGAATATATAAACTCCAAACACATTATGCTGCACTGAGTGAAGAAAGTCCATCATAAAAGGAAAGTGTGTGACCTCACTTATAGAAAATGACAAGAATAGATAAATATATATGTACCAATGGTTATTAGTGGTTACCAGGGGCAGGGAGGGAGAGGGAGAGAGAGAACCATTCTTTGGAAAGTAGTGAATTTATATCTATGGTGATGGAAAAACTGGCATCGATTAAGGGTAATGGTTACACAACTTGACTAACGTAACTAATATCACTAAACAACCAAAAATAAAACCAAACTCATTGCCGTCAGGTTGGACCCGACTCATAGAGACCCCTCCTTGGGTTTCTGAGGCTATATTACTACAGAAGTAGATTGCCCTATCTTCCTTCCAAAGAGTGGCTGGTGGGGTTGAACCGCCAACCTTCTGGTTAGCAGTCAAACGCCTTAGGCACTGTGCCACCAGAGATCACTAAGCAGTACAGCACAAAAAGAGTAAAACAGCAAATGTTGTAGTATATATAATTTTATAACAATAGTAACCAAAAAAAAGAACACAAAAAGAGGCTGCAGTTGCTACTACTACTTAGGTACAACCAAACATGGCACTACTCTTCTTTATCTGAGGCTTAGGACTCAGATAAAGTTTTATAGGACTGTCCAGTCAACTGAACTAACACTGTTTTCAGTGTTTCTGTTTTAGACCCACACACACACACACACAATTTGGTTAGTACTGCCTGGGGTCTTAAAAGCCTGCAAGCAGCCTTCTAAGATAGAACAATTGATCTCTATTCACCTGGAGCAGCAGAGGAAGGAGACCCAGGAACTGGACTGCAGGTCTACCTACATACCTCTATAAATTACTGCCTCCTTTGCCAGGAGACCATAAGAAGAACTGGATGGTAGCAGTCACAATTACTGAACATTTTGATCAAGGATGCAATAGATGAGTCCTGATCAAAAGGGAAGTGGTGGAGTGGAATGTGGAACAGAATTTCAAATTTCTTAGAGAATCTAGAATTCCTGGACCCATTGAGGCTAGAGGAACTCTGAATCTATTGCCTTGAGAAATTTTGTGAAACTTTAATGAAACTATCCCTGAAGACATCTTCAAACTAAACAACAGTTTAGCTAAACTAGTAAAGAATATTTGCCTTGAGTATTCAGCTCTTTTAAAGAATTATCTGTATGAAATCAAACTGACAACAATAATTCTAATGCATAGATGAGTAGTTTATGGGGCAATGAGTCTAAATCAATGTGGTTAAATAATATGAGGAGATTAGCAAGAATGGTTACACAATGAGAAGAATTCAACAAGTGTCATTGAATTGTATGTGTAGAAACTGAATGGGAATATGATCTGCTGTGTATATTTTCACCAAAAGTTTAAAAAAAAAAAAGTTCTAATGCCTGGTTTATGCACTTGCATTCTCACTTTTGGCTTTTGGGTAAAGGACAACCTAAAGTTTAAAAAAAAAAGATTCTAATGCCTGGTTTATGCACTTGCATTCTCACTTTTGGCTTTTGGGTAAAGGACAACCTAAAGTTTAAAAAAAAAAGATTCTAATGCCTGGTTTATGCACTTGCATTCTCACTTTTGGCTTTTGGGTAAAGGACAACCTAGAATGGAACATTGTGGCAGCAAACTCTTTAGGAATTTCATCCTAAGTGGCAACATTAAAAGAATTCACGGTGTAATCAATAAAACATTTGCATGTCATTTAATTGCAAAAAATTATTATTTTTTTTTCTCCTTGGGTGAAATATAGAGAATTCCTTACTCTCCTAAATGAACCAGAGATTGTTTCCTAAAACCTTTTCTTGACTCAATCCACCTTCATTTCAAAGGAATTTTTATTAGCATCCATGACTATAATACAACTCTTATATTGGAATAAAGCTTACCACTTGGAGAATGTCTTCATCTTTAGGCATAACACTAAGTTCCAATGTAGTATCACTGAAATTGAACACATACACACTACTTTAGGAGAGAGGGAAGTATATAAGAAAGACACAAAAGAAAGAGAGTCAATTCAGAAGCATTTTTAAAGTTCAGCTTAGTTTTCAGTTTTCTTAAATCTTTATTTTCCAGATCCAAATCATTAGGATAAAAAGAAGTCATTTCCAGACACATAAACTAGTCACGTACAAAAAAGGGCACATAGGCATGCACCTTGATATATTTTTATGCTATTCATAATCAGTCAAATCTTTATGTTTCTAATTTAGAACATAAAGTATGTAACTTACATTAAATAGTCCTGGAAGAAAACTCATAACAATATTAAGGATTTTTATCACATATTCTGCTTATCAAGTTAAAAATTCATTAGCATAAAAATAATCAAAGAGCCCTCAATGTAACATTTAAAATTATATTAAAATCCTAATTTCAAAATATTCCCTCTTGATCTCTGAAGAAAAAGAAATCAGAATTCACTATCATAACTACTGAAATGACTCCTTATTTGAAAAAAAGACTATATAGCATCTCAACTATTTGCTTTCTTCTTTAGGGCTTAATTTTAGAACTTTATAGTTCTAAAAAGTCTTGTTTTATTTTTATGTTGTTAATTTCCTGTTAAAAATGACAGATAAATATTTTCTATGATTAAAAAAGTTGAAAGGGGTAAATTATACTGAACCCTGAGATCTGGAATTAGATTACATTTAGACTTGGCAAAGCTAGTGCTACTATCTCCATCAAGTACTTTAATACCTAATCTAACTTTATCAGATTTTTCCCCAATATGATCAAGACATTATGAAACAATTGAACAAATAAATAACAAAAAACAGAAAACAAAATCTAGTAATTTACTGGTGTCTCTTTTTGACAGATTTGAACCCTTATTTTTAGGTTCCTAGATACTGAGAGAATCACAAATCAATAAGAACCACAGGTTCAAATAAATTTAACTAGTCAAATATGTAGCTACTTATTTTTCAATATTTAAAGTTAGTAGATAATACATATGATGCTTAGATAAATTCTTCTGCAAGGATCCATTTTTACATTAATATACTGCAGAATCTCAATGGCTTTGTGCTGCATTATACATTTGCTACCAACTGCAGATAAAGGAACACAGTTTTTTAAATAAGAGAATGAAAAACAGTACTTAATTTTCAAATTGCTTTAATGTTTGAAAAATTAAGCCTGTCATTCTGAATAGTTATTATTCTGAATGATGAACAATACCAGTAACAAAAAATTAATGCAGATTTTGAGGAAAATAAAGATTAAATTATGGTTACCTGGAAAAGTAATATTTTTAAAGAAGAAATGCTAACAAATATACTAAAACTCCTGAAATTATTGGCTGGGAAAACACATGGGTATATTTATGATGAGCTAATTTATTTTGAGGAAATAAATGGATTTTAAGCTAACCACTAGAGAGGTTTTAACTTCCCCACCAATCCCCAAGTTTCCTCGATATTTTAAGTTCAAATAGGTACCACTGTCAAGAGCATCTAGAATGTAATATTGTGGGGAAGATTTAAAATTTGTTTAAGAATCTCATTAAATATTACAACAGTAAAAAGAATACTCAAATATCAATAAATCATGATTATGTCACTTTATTATAAAAAAATGACAATGAACTAGAGCATTAATGTAAATGATTAAGATTACAGCATGAACTGCTTTAGACATTGTTAGAGAAGCTTCGTAAGAATCTTCAAAACATAAAGAGCTTCAATATAATTACAGACGGTAGGTGTGGCTAATATAAACCAATAGATAATCTAAAAGTTAGCATATCTGAATCTTGGGAGGGCTTAACAGTAGAGTGATGATCTGGAAATCAGACCCCAGATTTTAGGGTCAGTCTTGACAGAAATTCAATATAATATCTCTTTTAATTTACTTGTAATTTTTTAAAAATTTCTTGGTGTGTGATACAGAGTAGGACTAAGTTATCTTTGAGGTTCTGTAGACACTCTATAAATATTTATTTACCTTTAAAGCCCAACATTTATCCTTCTATAAAGTGTAGGCAGACAAGTGGATTAAAAGGAAATTCCTCAGTGTCTTGGTTAAAGCAAATGAACAAATTTGAGCCAAGAAGAATATTCAAAAGATACTTAAAGATAACATATCTTTAAGAAGTGAAGTCCTGATATAACCTACAAAATGGATAACCCTTGAACACATTTGTTGGGTGAAACAATCACTAAAGGACAAATGTTGTATAATCTCATTTACATGAAATAATAATAATAGGCAAATGCATAGGATCAAAATTTATTAGTGGTTACCAGGGGCAGGAGGGAGGGGGAAAGGGAAAGTGACTGATTAGGAGGCAGTGAGTTTCTGTTTATGGTGATGGGAAAGTTGGCAACAATTATAGGTGATGGTCACACAACATGATTAATGTAATTGATATCACTATACTCGGAAGGAAGGTTGGGCAATCCTACTTCCGTAGTGATACTGCCTCGGAAACCCAAGGAGGGGTCGCTATGAGTCGGGGACGACTCGACGGCAAACAACAACAACCACAACAATACTGTATACCTCAAAAATGTTGAATTGGCAAATATGTGCTCTCTCTCTATATATGCATATATATATTTGTATATATTTACAACAAGGAAAAAAGATAACATATCTTAGTAAGAGGTTTTAAAATATACTATGAATGCATTTAATTATAAATATATACATAAAGAAAGTATATATTCATTCTATTGTTCAACTTAAAAAGGGGAAATCTAAAATAAAATCTAAAATGTATGGCACTCAGACTTTGAAGGATTTGAAAATCTGATAAATCCTTCAAAGCAAAGCCACCAACTAAGCTATCCTCAAGTAGTCTGAATCTTGTCAACTCTCAAGATGTGTTAACCACGTTTTCATATCACACTGGTTCCTTACAAAAATACTATATTGTATTAAATCTTCTGGCTCTATTGATTTATAAAATTCATCTTTGGCCAAAATTACATTTCAAGAATCTTACCTGTTCTGAATTAAAGCAATTACTTGAGAATAAGTCTTTCCAATGACACTTTCTCCATTGACTTTTATAATTCGGTCACCTTCAAAGAGGAGTAGAAAAAAAAAATGAAGAAAATCATTTTGAATACTTTTGAAATATTTCTTGAGTAATATACTTATTTTTAATATATACTTGCTAATTATTTTTCACAAGTACTTTAAAAAAATAAATATAAGCCTTAATATATCCAGCTTCTTAATGAAATACAGCCAAGCTCTAGATGAGCGTTTCAGTCATTTACCAATTTAGAACTGTCAAAAGCTGTAGTTATCAGATGACCACAGTGAAATTGTTGATGCACCTATCCACTGTTTTCTGAGTGTACATCCACTAAGTTATTTCTCCATTTATCCTATCTTCACTGATAAACCTGCTGCCATGAGTAGATTCCAACTCATAACGATCCAAAGGGTTTCCAAGGCTGTAATCTTTACAGAAGCAAACTGCCATATCTTTATTTCATGGAGGAGCTGGAGGATTTGAACTACCGACTTTTTGGTTAGCAGCTAAGCACTTTACCCCGGTACCACCTAAGGTCTTTTCCTTACTGATGGAGAACAGTGTTCAACAGGCTTAAATGACTAATTGTTTTTATTTCCTCAGTGTCCTCTGAGTCCAGCTGATTGCCTTGTAGTATACTCTCAATCTGTTTAGATTATTGGTTAGTGCCGTACTATACAACTTAAATATAAGTATGCATGCTTTTAACATTATACATATTAAGTTATGCTTTATTTGAATGAAGAAAAGGACACTTGAATTACTCAGAAAAAGTCACAGGGATACAAAAGAAAACACTGACAAAGGACAAGGGAAGAGAGGAAAATAGAAAAAAAAAATTACTTTTTCTGTATCGATTAACAGCATCTCTACTTCATCTTCTGAACCATGTGCAGCTTAGGAAATGATGAATGCATTCTATGTAATGGAATCCCGTATGTACATTGATATACATATTATATATATTAATGTTATATAAACTAAGTTTACTTTAAAAAAAAAAAGGATCGCTGGTGGCATAGTGCGTAAAGCACTTGACTGCTAACTAGAAGGCTGGCGGTTCAAACCCATCAATCACTCCTCAGAAGGAAGGTTGGGCAATCTACTTCCATAGTGATACCGCCTCGGAAACCCAAGGAGGGGTTACTATGAGTCAGCTCTGACTTGATGCCAATAAGAAGGTATGATAAAAAATTATTAATTAAGGTAAGTAATAAATGAACAGTGCATTTTAATAAATTTCAGCCTAATACTCACTACTTATAATATTTATACTTGAAAATACAATGCCTTATTCAAAAAGCCATAAAAAATAGTGTTTCCTACTAATTTCCATTTTTAATTGTTTCACATTTAAAAATAAGACCAAAGAGTAACCACTTTAGAATATGTATTAATTTACATTAATTCTCTCCTTAATAGTTATAACTACTTCACTTTTATTAAAATCACAAAATATTTTAGAACAAAAAGCCACTATTTCTAGCAAATCTGACCACTTCCACTGATACCTAAAAATGACTCTGTTTGCATTGTATGGGAGACTTAAACTACTCTGCGGTGCAAATTAATTACTCCACCTCTGGTAGATATGGCACTTCTAGAACTTGGAGATTCAGTAAGACTATTTCAATTACATCAATAAATATCTTCATCATTTTGCTCTTCTGTGATCTCTTGTCAAAATTAAATGTATGAAAATAGCTTTTTTAAAAGGACCTTCTAATGACAGAAAAACAATTCTAAGAATCCATTATCTTTGTGATAACTTTAAGTGCCCAGAATTTATCAATTTATACTAAATTATTTCTATTCAAACCCATCTATATTTGTATCAAAAACGTATGAGTAAGTGGTTCTCTAAAATAGTAATTCTAGATGAGAAGAATAATGAAGAAACATATGGAAGGGTAGAAAAGAAGAAATATGGAACATTAAATGTAGAAGAAGGAAGAAATAATGTGAAAAAGAAATTAGGAAGTGTTGGTATTTAAAGAAGAGTATCATTACCTGTGCATAATCCAGCTTCAAAAGCAGGTCCTCCTTCTTTAACTTGTTTAACAAATATGGTATCCATGGGTTCCAAGTGGTTTCTTTGTTTTCCTAGGAGAGAGAAAAAGCCCAGTGTGATGTTATTTTGCAATACTTTATTAAAATACTAAAATATACAATATAATTTAAACGATGAAGCAAAAATTTATGACATTTTAAACCCATATCCTAAATTTTAATGCTAAAATTATAATTCAGATGCTTTCATTAATTCAAATATTTATTTTGCTTCTTTCATTGCAATACGACAATCATAGCAGTAGTAATTGTTTCTATTTGTTGGGTACATTTTGTTTGTCGGGTACTATGCTAAATATTTTACATACCTCAGAACTTGTTTCTATAGCAAATACATACTACTATCGCCATTGCATAAAAAAGGAAACTGAGATTCAGAGAGATTAAATAAGTTTTCCAGGATCACACAGTCATTAAGTGCCAAAACTGATTCCAAAGGTAGTGCTCACTCTACTGCTTTTTTAAAATTGACACTGTGCTAAGCACTAAAATATAAGAGAATAAGACACACAGTCTTACCCTTCAGGGGCTCTGGTAGGAGAGAGACATAAGAACAAAGAATCACAGTATAGTATAAAAAACAATCAGAGACAAATTCAAAATATACTTATGGACAATGAGGAGAGCATATAATGCATGTAAATATGTAAGTCGGCATCTCCTATTGTGGTCCGAGGACCATCTGAATTAACATCTAATACTATGAGTTGGAATCGACTTGGCAGTGAATTTAATTTTGGTTTTTGGTGCTTACTAAAAAATGAAATGTTCTAAGGTCCAACTCAGAACTCTTGCTGTTTCAAAATGTTTCCCAGGTGATCCTCACACACACCAGAATTTGAGAACAGATAACAGTTTCAGTAAAACAAATCAAGTGAGGACTCTCAGATGAAAGGACATTTAAGCTAGTAATAAGCACCATGATAAGTACCATGGGGGAAAAAGGTAGACAGTGGTTCTCAAATGTGGCCCTCAGACCAGCAGAAGCAATATCATCTGGGAATATTAGAAACGCTAATCTGTGGGCCCCATCCAAGACCTAATGAATCGGAAAATCAGAGGTGTTTGTGATCTACACACAAGACTCTTAAAGAAGTAATAAGGATTGGGAAAATAAGGCATATACATGTATAAATATAACAAAACAATGCAATAACTGCTGTGGAGTTGGATCCGACTCATAGAGACCCCTCCTTGGGTTTCTGAGGCAGTATCACTACAGAAGTAGATTGCCCAACCTTCCTTCTGAGGAGTGGCTGGTGGGTTTGAACTGCCAGTCTTCTGATTAGCAGTCAAATGCCTTAGGTACCACACCACCAGAGCTCCTGTAACTATAATAATACTTATTAAATAGCATTACTGGGCAGAAAATGAATGAGTGTCATATATAAAGAGTTCATAATTATTGCTATATAAATCACTTTTGTCACAGTAGATTCACAAAGATGGCTCAAAAGAAGTTTTGACAAAGGAAAGTATGTAGCTCTCCCTACATTCTCAGCTTTTTTACTCTGAAAGTAACCCTCTAAAGCAATGAATGGGAGCTCTGGTGACATAGTTCCTAAGGCATTTGACTGCTAACCAGAAGGCCTGGCAGTTCAAATCCAGCAGCCACTCCTCGGAAGGTAGGTTAGACAATCTACTTCCATAGTGATACCGCCTTGGAAACCCAAGAAAGGATCACTATAAGTTGGATTCGACTTGACGGCAGTGAGTCTAGTTTGGTTTAAAGCAATGAATGGCTAACCCAACTCCTTAAAAATCAGTAGGGTATAGTAAAATATCTTATGCTTTAGAAGCCAGGATACACGGGTTCAAATCCTTGTTTTGTCACTTGATAGTCTAGTTAACAATTAAGTAAACTTGAGAAATTATTACTTTCCTCTATTATACAGAGATAATTATTCTACATTTTTACATTCTTGAAGGGTTTCTATGAAGACTAAATGAGAGATACTATGTGAAAGCACTTAGTACAGCATGTGACTAGAGTAATTCCTCAATAAATGTGTATTTCCACTCTTCCTTGGATACTGCTCAGATGAGGGCCAGTAGCACTTATTTATGTTTCCAAGAATTATAAACCTGACAATTAATAAAAGCACTCCTGGAAAATATCTGTTGTTAGTTGCCATCAAGTTGATTCCAATACATGGTAATCCACGTGTGCAAAATATCTATTATCAAGTTTTCACAAGTATAGACATGTTCCCAAAGAAACTTAACTAGAAAGACTGTCTATGTTCAAATGACATGAAAATATTGTAAACTGTTAGGTAGTTTTGGTTAGGTATGACTGACAGCCATGACTGCTCTCTCCATGAGGCTTAGAAAGAAGAACGTTTGTTAAATCTCTACCATATAGAAGAATGTCCTAATTCTTCAGAGGTGTTTGCTGAAGTATTTAGGGATTAATTATAATGATATCTGCAACTTTCAAATGGTTCAAAGGGAAAAAATAAACCAAGATACGTGCACACTCAGGCACGCATGTGAATAGGTAGGTAAAGTAAACAGAAAACTGTTAAGTTTCATCTAGATGGACAGTATACAGGTGTTCAATGTAATTTGAAAATTATCGTAAAATGTTTTGGGGAAATTTCTACATATGCCAGGCTTTATTTTTCTTCATAAACCTCATCACTTTCAAAAATTACATTTTTATTTGCTTGCATGTTTGTCACTAAAATTAAGAGCAGGTATTCTGTCATGTTTGCTGATATCCACAGGACTTAGAACAATACCTGACATAGAGCAAGGATTCAATAATAAATTATTCAATAAATGAACATCTTTATTATTTAGTTTAATTCTCACAACCAGCTTTCAAGACAAGCATTACAACACTTGTATTGCCATTTTGCTGAAGAGAAAATACACACTAAATAACAAAAGGCAGAGGAGGGATTTGAACTTAGGTCTGAATTCAAAAAAGACATTCTATTCTGCTGCAAAAATAATTGAACTACTTATCTGTTTGTTTGTTTTTTAAGGAGCTCTGGTGGCATAGTGCCTGAGGTATTTGACTGCTAACCAAAAGGCTGGCAATTCAACCAAGCACTCCTCAGAAGGAAGACCTGGCAATCTACTTCCATAGAGATACCACCTCAGAAACCCAAGGAGGGGTCTCTATGAGTCAGATTCAACTCAATGGCAGTGAGCTTTTTTTTTTTGAGTATTTCATTGTGTGAATGTACCATAGTTCATCCATTCATCTGTTGATGGGTGCTTAGGTTGTTTACATCTTTTTGCTATTGTGAATAATGTTGTAATGAACATAGGAACAGATACATCTATTCGTGTCATGGCTCTTATTTCTCTAGGATATATACCTAGTAATGGAATTGCTGGATCATATGGTATTTCTATTTCCAACTTCTTAAGGAAGTGCCATACTGCTTTCCACAATGGTTGCACCATTTTATAGTCCACCAGCCGTGTGTAAGGGATCTGCTCTCTCTACACCCTCACCCGTATTTGTTGTTTTCTTTTACTTTTTTTAAACTTTGCTATTAATGCTGGTGTGATATCTCATTGTTTTGATTTATATCTGTCTAATGGCTAATGAAGGAGCTCCAGTGGCACAGTGGTTAAGGTATTTGCTGCTGACCAAAAGAATAGCGGTTTGAACCCATCAGCCACTCTGCTAGAGAAAGACGAGGCAGTCTGCTTCTGTAAAGATTTAGTCTTGGAAACTCTATGCGGGCAGTTCTACTCTGTTCTAGAGAGTCAGTATGAGTTGGAATCAACTTGATTGCACTGGGGTTTTGGTTAATGGCTAATGATCTTGAGCATTCCTTCATGTGTTTGTTAGCCGCCTGAATGTCTTCTTTAACCAAGTGTCTGTTCATGTCCTCTGCCGATTTTTTAATTGGATTGTTTGTCTTTTGGTTGCTGAAGTGTTTTAAGTTTTCTACAAATTTTAGAGATTAGGTCCTTGTCTGATATGTCATTGCCAAAACATTTTTCTAGTCTGTAGTTTCTCTTTTCACGCTTACAGGAAGGTATTTCAATGTGCATAAATGCTTAGTTTTTAGGAGGTCCCAGTTGTCTAGTTTGTCTTCTGCTATTTGTGCATTTTTAGCTATGTTTGACAGTGTATGTATGCCATATATTAGGGCCACTAAGGTTGCCTCTATCTTTTCTTTGATGATTTTTATGGTTTAGATTTTTCTGCAAATGCCTATCCAGTTTTGCCAGCACCATTTCTTAAAGAGATTATCTCTTCCTCATTTAAAGAGTTTTGGCCCTCACTCAAAGACCAACTGTCCATAGGTGGATGGATTTACTTCTGGGTTCTCAATTCTGTTCCAGTGGTCTATGTGTCTGTTCTCGAACGAATACCAGGCTGTTTTGTCTACTGTGGCTGTACAGTAGGTTTTGAAATCAGGGAGTGTGAGGCCCCTAGTTTATTCTTCTTTAGTAGTGCTTTTCTTACTCAAGGTCTTTTTCCTTGAGTAAGTTGGTAATCAGCTTTTCTATCTCTTAAAAAAAGCATGATGGAATCTGGATCAGGATTACATTATATCTCTAGATTGCTTTGGATAGTATTGTCATTTTTACAATGTTAAGTCTTCCATGACATGCACATGGTATATTCTTCCATTCATGCAGGTCTCTTTTGATTTCTTGTAATATTTTGTGGTTTTCTTTGTATATGTCTTTTATGTCTCTGGCTAGATTTATTCCTAAGTACTTCTTCTTTTGGGTAATTATTGTAAATGATACTATTGTCCTGATTTCCTTTTCAGAGTTCTCTTTGTTAGTGTAGAGGAATCCAAGTGATTTTCTTATGTTGATCTCATACCCTGTCACTTTGCTGAATCCTGCTATTAGGTTCAGTAGCTTTCTTGTTAAGCCTCTAGGATTTTCTAGTTGTCCTTTATTCTTGCATATTTCTCAGTGTCTTCCTTTGCTTTAGTCATATTGTATTAACTTTCTCCCTATTGTGTACTGCCTTTCCCTTCAGCAGAATTAACTCCTGCCTACTATCTACTCAGTGAGTCTCCCCCCCCCTTCCCCTCACCCTCCTG